TAGACCCCATTCCAACTATGGTATAAGACCCTAAATCCTACAGACTATAGACCCCATTAAAACGAGGTCTCTGTTTTGGTATTGGGTGTTCGACGAGAGGACCTGAGCCTGGCGATGGTGGTTGGCTTCGTCCAGGAGCTGGGCCTGCGATTACCACAGGGTGCGGGTTTAGGGTTTAGAGTCTAGGGGGGTTTAGGGTTTAGGGTTTAGGGGGGTTTAGGGTTTAGGGTTTAGGGTTTAGGGTACCACGGGGTGTGGAAAGGTGTGTCTTTGTATACATACAATACAGGGAAAACAGCGAGTAGATAAATGAGAAAAAAGCAAGAAATTGCACATGCATTCGCCGTGTATACTCTTATATATATATATATGTGTGTGTGTGTATAAAACACCTACACCCATACATCTTATACATTCTGTATGTATGTATATATATATATACACATACGCACAAGTGTAAAATGTGTAAGTATATATAACATGCATACAGACATACATACATATATATATATATGTATAGGTACATGTACATGTATATATTTCTTTATATTTTGTGTAGATGTAATTGTAAGTTTGTGTGGTGTTACATCATATATGTATATGTATATGTATATGTATATGTATATGTATATGTATATGTATATGTATACGTATTTGTATATGTATGTGTATATGTATATGTATATGTTTGTGTAGATGTAGATGTAGATGTATATATATATACACACATACACGCACACATCATGTGTACAGAGTAGTAAATTTAGGTATCTGAACTCGCATTAAGTATACTGCAGTTTGTTGTCACATAACGTTTTTAAGCGTTGCTAAACACAATGGGTGTCTAACTGGTAATGCTGACGATAGCGGTGCTGATCATTCAGGCGACGGTTCGCGTGCTAGCCGCTAGCCGATTCGCGGGCAGCAGAAGCAGTCGCCATCGCCGTCGTCATCGAAGAAGCGTTCACAGCAGCGTAGGTAAAACAAAACAGACGGCATATATGCCCATACTCTACGGCTCGTATTTTATTGAACCTGCAGCTCTTGAGCATTGCCCCTCGTTGAAGAACTCCAGGAGTGGCGCAGCATGCAGCACGAGTGGCATGTCGCAGAGCAGCCCGAGGGTGGGATCTCCTTCACTGGCCCTGCCTACTTCACCCCACCGGTGTCCTCGCCTTTCACGTTGAGACGGAGTACGTAGGAGGCAGTATCAGGCCTCCTCGTAGAGTATGGCGAAGAGATTTTCTATTGAAGGCAAGCTTGGTGATGCAGCGACGGCACGCCTTGTTGCGTGTGTCTCAGACAACGGATCGTGCCGCAAAAGCCGGTGAAAAACAGGGAGCGCAGCTTGCAAAGTGCCTGCAAAAGTTGTCAAATTTCCGAGTTCAATTCCCGTCTCACTCGGCTTCGATCTTCGGCATTCCACGTTCAGTATACTCTGCGGATCGCTTGAAAGGATTACTTCTTGAACTTCGTAAAAGTGCCATCGGCATCACTGATGATTTCGGTCCACAGAGGGCCACCGCATGCAGAAGTGAAGAACAGTGAACTCTCTACGGGAAACCCAAACCCTGTAAGCCCGAAGACCCTGAATCAAGTTACAATGGAACTTTGTAGTACTGCCTAACACCTATAAACCCAAAGACTCAAGACCCTACAGCGCGGCAGCAGGTGATCTCGCGCCTCTGCAAAGATGGACGGCGCCCACGGGAAGGTGAGCAGGGAGAATCCTCACGGAAGAATTTAATTTGGCTTTGTCCCCGGGCCCCCGGGATATAGTTTCGGTCGGATGGGCTGGGCATGGGTTCGATGTAATCACCGCACACGCTTCGGCCAACAAGAGCCCTAGTTTCTTGTCAAGTGGTAGAGGAAGTCATGGTAGCTTTTGCGTTGGTTTTTGCTGACAAAGCAGAATCACTGGTACTAGTGCTAGTTAGCGGCAGTTAGTGACCTTGTAGAACATGTAAACCCATTCCAGTCCTGGTTGAACCCATATTGTTTTGTTGTTGCTGTTGGCTTAAACCCTAAACCCTAAACCCTGAACCCTACGGGTGCGAAGCCTCCCACTGCCGAGCATCTCTGAATGTTTAGTGCAGGGCGGAGAGTAGTGCGATGGGGGAGGCTCGGAAGTGATGTGGCGCTTATGTATGCATATTCAAAGGTACATACTTCCACCACAGATGGCCATATGCATGAATATGTGTTTGTTTATGCAGGCGTGTATGCAATGCATTCCTGTGCTCACATACGCCTACACGCACACGCATACCCTGCCCCATATGATCATGCTTTGCCAACCCAGCCGAGTGCCGGTTTGCGTCGTGTGTCTGTCTGTCCGTCTGGCTGGCTGCCTGTATGCATGTCTGCATGTATGTATGTTGTTGTTTTGAGGTAAATTTGGGTGTATTTATGTACTTGGGTTAGCACGGCTGCATGTATTTATGCTTGCGATGGTGCCAGCATGTGCGGATGGACGGTCGGACGGAGGGATGCATGGATTGATTGGCGTGTGTAGGCGTGCCCGCAGTATCTGTGCATGTCATCTTCATCTGCAGACAAATCTATCTTTGCCATTCTCTGTCCACATGTATGCCAGCTTCTTTTTTTTAAGTATCTATCTATCCATGTATCCATCTGTCTTAAAGTGGTACATTACATTTCAGGCGACTGTTCTGCCTTCCCAACCATGGCCATGCCACGTCGGCAGGAGGCCATCGACGATCTCCTTCCGGACCTGCTGACCTGCGAAAGGACTATCCGGCTGTGGGTGTTGGGGGGGGGGGGGGGGGG